AAAATCTCCCCAAAAATCTTTAAAAATTCCTAAAAAAAAAAATCTCCCCCAGAATTCCCAAATCCTCACAAATTCCCAGCCCCAAAATCCCAAATTCTCCCTCCAGAGCTCGAATTTCACCCCCAAAATCCCCCCCAAAAAAATCCCAAATTTCCCAAACCCTCTCTCACTCAGTGACCCCCCCCCAGCATTCCTGGCATTCCCAAAAATCCCAAAATTCCAAAAAATTCCCAGAGTAATTCCCAAATTTCTCACTTTGTGACCCCTCCAAACCCCCTTTCCACGATCAATCCTGGGATTTTCTCTTTGCCATTCCCAGAATTCCCAAAAATTCCCAAAATTCCCAAATCCTCTGGAATTCCTGGCATTCCCAGCCTCCCAAAAATTCCCAAAAATTCCCAAAATTCCCAAAATTCCCGAATTTTCCCACCTTGTAACTCCCCCAAACCCCCTCTCCACGATCAATCCTGGGATTTTCTCTTTGCCATTCCCAGAGTTCCCAAAAATCCCAAAATTCCCAAATCCCCTGGAATTCCTGGCATTCCCAGCCCCCCAAAAATTCCCAAAAATTCCCAAAATTCCCACCTGGTAACTCCCCCAAACCCCCTCTCCATGATCAATGCTGGGATTTTCTCGTGGCTCTCTCCCAAAATTCCCAAATCCCCTGGAATTCCTGGATCCCCTGGCATTCCCAGCCTCCCAAAAATTCCCAGAAATTCCCAGAATTCCCAAAAATTCCCGAATTTCCCACCTGGTGACCCCCCCGAACCCCCTCTCCACGATGAAGGCCGTGATTTTCTCGTGCCTCTCTCCCGTCCTCTCGTCCTTCAGGGGAGTTTTGGCAAAAACCGTGAACAGCTCGGCCAGGCCCCCGTTACTGCAGGGGGAAAAAAAATGGGAATTCTGGGGAAAATCGGGAATTCTGGGGGGAAATCGGGGATTTTGGGATGCTGGGGAACAAATAGGGGGGTTTGGGGAAAAAAAAATGGGGTTTTTATGGGGAAA